CCTTGTTTCCATGATCGGTCTGACTGGGAGATAAGTTTATTTTTGGACGACCCAAAATAAGCTCTTGGAAAGCTTCCCTGTTGACTTTGTTTATAGCGACACTCCTTAGATTTGATCTGGAATCCCGATATTATAAGATGTTATGACGTATTAGCAGTTCAGTGATTAGAAGAATACGCTTACGCATATTTGTGACGTGCTAGGTGGCAATCCCTTCCGTCTCTATGTAAGCGCCTTTGAAGGCTCGTATTACCTTCGAAATTTACTTTCCAAACCGCCAGACATCGGCTACAGTCAAGATTCCTCCCCAATAACATAGTAGTAATCCTTATAAGGACCCCTAAAGACTGTTCACAATGGCCCTGACTTTGCTGGATTCGACCATGTTCTAGGATCGTTGTGCTTTCGGGCAGTCTACCCGCCTCAGCCAACTCCCTAGAACACAGAGTTCCCCTGCGATTCCTGTAAGTGCGGGTGTGGGGTCTGCTTATCCAGTGGGAGAGGGGTCATATCTAGCCAACCTAGGGATGAGAAGGAATCGCAATTTCATGCTTCCTCCTTTCCCCATTTCCTTCTTTCCATTATTTTTGCCACTCACCGTTCCGATTAGGGTAAAGCTGAATAAGTAGGCACAAAGATGGATAATGGATCGTGTTAAGAATCACTTTTCTGTAGTGAGCGGTCATATTAAAACTAGTTTTTCCTGTATCTTTAAGCAAATACTCCCAACGACAGGCTCAAGTGTGAAGAGCACAGTAGAGGAGTAGAATCTATGCTGGTAGCGTACTACTCCTCCAAATTATCATTTTCCGAAATCAAAAATCTGTAAACGCGCGACTTTGTCAAAATCAGCGTCAGAAGCTCTGTTCGTACACATTCAATTTGGAATTGAAATCCGACAAAATTACTTTTCTCTTGGGGGTGGCGCTTGCCCTTTGTTTACAACTGAATCATGGTCGAGATACGAGGTCTCCCGTCGCTCGCCCGCAAGCGGGCCAAATCGCGGACTATGAAAGCAGCCATCGAACACCGGTTAATGGCAAAAAAAGAGGTACTGTGCACTGGAAGGAGTGCGCAGAGAACGCGAACTGCGCCGGCAAAACGAGCTGTCGGCGCCATCGACTGTAGATCAAGGTGGACAGATTGCACCGTACATGTGTGGGCAAATGAAACTCGAGGAAGTAAATTTCTGAAAATTCAGGTGTTTTCAGAAGCAAAAAGAATAATCCAATAACTGTAGATGCCGTTTTGTAATTGTAACTAATCACAAAATCGATTATATGGAGAGCTGATCGAAGCACAAGTCACAGAATTTAAGGGTGACGGAACTTCCCCCTGAATTCCCACGGCCTGCGACAGTGGTTCCGCGGCGACTCTTCGTATCCTTCCACTGAGGATTTGAATTTTTCCCTTCACAACGCGCGGCCACGTGTTGCGAACTCGCACACCGTTGGGGGAGAAGATACTAGACCCCAAAACTTACCATTCCGGACACTGGAGTGGAAACAAGTGACCAGCTTTAAGATCCATTTTGGAGTGTACCATTCATTCACCTAATTCGGCATTGATCTAACACACTATAACCGAGAGTGTGGCCCCAGCCCTGTTTGAGACCACGCACACCACCCTCCTCCGCTTCGACTACACTCGCTTGGCTTTACTTTCGAACTTGTTTTCATGATGCATGGCGCCTCTCAGACGGAGGCCGAGATATAGCAGCATCACCACACTTTGACAGTATAGGCTTGTCGACAAAAATAGCTCACAGGCTTGGCTGGAACGATTAGTCCTTTGACGTCGTGGCTATGTATAGTCTTTAGGATCAGGCAGGTGCATAAATCCAACGAGAGAAAAGCAGAAGTTAGAGGCGGAGACATGCTTAGAAGGGTATTTCCATCGCCGGCTGCGAATAACAAGAGAGACGCGTGAGGTGCCACGCACGATCAGATCAGAAGATCCGCTGAATTCGGCTCTGAAGGGATCTTCTCATCCGCGATGAATCCGCCGCTTCGCGGCCTAAACGCGGATTCCGTATGGATAATAAAATAGATATAAATTAGTGAAGTGCCGACAAGATTCTTCACTTGCTTATCTGTGCTACTTACTTGCAGTAACTACCTGACTGGTTCCAGTAACCACTGTCCATTTGGAAGGCTCTGCGTTCATGCAACATATTGAGACTGGCAACGATTCTATTTTCAACTCATTTTCAAAAGTTTTTTCAGGAGTTTTTAGTTACAGTTTCTCTGAACTTTGGTACGAAGTTGGTGTAGTGTAGCCTTCCTCAAGTTTTGGAAAGTTTCTCAGGACATCTCTTGAGCATCTCTTCCTCAGCTGGGCCACTCAAAGTGAAATGATGCGAAGCGGCCGGAAAGGTTTTCCACTCAGTAGAAAAGGGTTAATAATTGAGTGGGTTGAAGACCACGCTAATTTTCTTCGACTTAACTCCTTGTTTCTCAATAAACAAAACGCGCAATATTTTGAAAGTGAAGATAACTATTTTTTTTAGGCCTTTGACTTGATCATTGACCAACTCAACAACGAAAACTCAAACAAAACAAGTCTGAAAGGTATTTTTGGTAGGAAAAATAGCATTGCTAACACTACTTTGATGAAAGGTAAAGGTCAAAGTCTCAAGTGTGGATCAATCTCGCTCTGTGGGATGCGCCGAACATTTGACATCCGCTCAGAATGTAGTGGCGTTTGTGAGTTTTTGAGTTACATAACGACTTGAACCAGCCGATGTAGATGTCCACGCGTCCATCTTTCCAGATGGATCTGGTACAGACTCATCCGCATGCCACTTGCCACTGCACCACATCCGTCCTGATAACCTAGTATAATAATAGAGTTGCTTAATAATGGCTGAAATTCACTTCTGCATGTATTGCTGCGAGAATTAAGTTTTAGAAGAACCCTTAGTTTCTCATCTCTCTCAAGTTTATCCTCTTACATGAGAGTTTGCTTTGATGACGTCCGTTTACCGCCTAGTCCAGCAAACATCCCGGATCATGCGCATTCCGACGGATTACGACAAAAATAGCGGACTTCGAGGAGTAAAGAGTCTCAGTGACGCTTTTGGCCGATTTCCTCTGACACAAAATCATGAGAGCAGCCGTTTTGAAATAACACTTCATAAGATGCCACCTTCGTGGTTGTCTGGCAAGTGTTTTCCGCTTTCTCGATTAAAAAGACTGATTCGAAGCGTCTCTGTATCTACTCCTAGTCTAAATTCCTTTCAACTAGCAGAATTCTATTCGTATCGCTCTACTGACGTGAGGTTGACTATGGCCTAATTTTTGACAGCAATGTCTTCTGAAATGTAATTCGTGGTAGTAAGAAAAAGAAGAGAGCTCATTAGGTTGATGCTCATTTACTGAGCCCATAAGGAATGAGAAAGCTGGAGGTCATCATTGCCTGCCAACAAGAGCCAAGGTACAGCAAATGTCGCCCATAATCTTATCCCGACACTTGTTGATGATTTTTTACGATTCGCTAAGCCATTTAGCAGGCTTTCTGAAGCTTTTCTTCCATTCCGTAGGAATACTTCATATGGCGGAGCTCATCTGCAACACTCTGAATGATTGACAATCGCCTGACTAGGGCGGCTGAGCCTTATGTTGGAGTATTGCCCAAGAAGAGGTTTGGCTTCCCTGATCACGCGTTTTTCAAATCCAGATCTCTGTCCTTCTCTAGGATCCTGCTGGAATATGCCTATAGAGCCTAGCTAATCGAAGACATCTTTGTAGTATATGACCATAATTAAGATTCCACAGGCCTACCTTACGGAATGGCGTGCTAAATAGTTGAGATTAAAAGATGAAGGACAAAGTTTTTTAACGTTCATCAATCCAATTTTGTAATGCGCCCCGCACTCAACTTCCAATCAGAATCTCACTTGCGTTTCAATCCGTATGCAATGACTTACAGTGGCCAAGCAACGTACAACTGAGTGCTTTATCTTCCCAGACAATTGGTAGATTTAGGAGGAATCGAAGGCTTTACAAACTGGGCGATCCGGGATCCGTTCGTTTAAGCGTGGGTACGTAGTGCGCCTCTTGGCACTACACCACATCCCTCTGAGTCGGCGTTCTATAACAAAAAACAGAATTCATCGAAGGAATTCGTGATGGTATCACAACGTTGTATGACCCGTATGCATTCGAATGCCAGTGCGATCAGTATGGCAGTCGTGTGCACGGCGCATCCCTAAGTGGGAATGACTGACTTGGAAAACTATCCTTTTTTAAAGACTGCTGAGAATACTTTGGCAAAATTTATATTTTCTGCGACTGTTATCCTCAGAATAGAAGAATATCCTCTTACATTGCTTATTCTGGTCCTTTATTAGTTATCTACAATACTTATGAATGGAGTTCTGACGACACAGAATTGCACATAGTCACGCATCACAGCTAATCTCGTTGTCACACATTGCAAAGGATAAGAACGGAGTTATAGAAATTCAAAATGCTACGCGTGTAATGTGTTGTTGGCCGCAATAGCATAATCTGCCTCAGATTCCGATTATCAATCCCAGAAATTGCTTTTTTGATAATTCGAATGGAGTCACACGGCTTCCAACCCCTTTTCTCGTTCTGATATTCATTCATTTGCCAACGATGCCTTCTCCAGGGCTGTCGTCTCAGAATCTACTCCAGAACTTCACCCCTTTAGCCTTCTACCAATAGGTTGACTTCAGACTCCCTTACAGGGATGTGGTGGTAGTATGGTGGTACAGTAGTGGACAAGTACTCATCGATGATTATTAACCAGGAAGTAAACCGAATGTTTAAAAAAACAGTCTTCGCATATCTTCTTGTTGGATAATCGCAATGCTTTAGCGCAGTTGCGGATAAGTCAACTGGAAGAAGGACTTCCTGGTTTCCCCATTCAAGTTTTTCGTTCGCCGTCATTGCTCTTCTTGTTCAATTCTTCTCCTACCGCGCCATTGTTCAGTCATCGCTATAACCTTAATCACGACTTATTTCAGAGAAAATATGAGCTCAAGTGACGACAGCTCTTCGAGAAAGTCTAGCGAGTGCCATCGATTCTTCGGCTACGGAAAACGCATTCCGAAAGGTATGTAGTATTAAGAGCTCTTCACTCTGAAATTCTACTAGTGGATAGGGACTTAGCTTGAAAGGCTACATAGCAAAGGTGATCGGGACATTTTGGCGCTACCTCTAGACCTGGGAGTTTAATTCATCTCTGCTGAACTGTTCAGCTCGAAAACAAATCTGACAGTAGCTTGAGTATGCGAGGCCATGGAATTCCATAGGATGTATCTATGACTATCAACGAACAAAAAAACTTCTTGCAGACGTGAAACGACACTGTGGTATGTGCCGGCAGCACGGGGTGGTGGTCGAGACACGTGGTCATATTTGCCAGTTCAAAAACTGCGAGTGCGATAAGGTAATACATGCTCTACTATCCGAATTGGATCCTCTTGTTCTCCGGAGTTTTCACAGATTCCATCAGAACATTATTGTGCCTAACTCATACCGTTTCAGTGCAAGCTTGTGCGCAAGAGACGCTCCATTATGTCAACTCAGATCCGGCTACGGCGTGAGCAGGATAAGAGATTCCAGGTAAGAAACATGATCCGAGAACAATCCGGAACACCAGTGAACCAGACCCAGTAATCGCCAATGCTTTCCTATTTCAGCGCACCACAATCGCCTCTGAAGCTGACGTTGTGCCTTCAAATGGGGTCTTTGAGTCGGAAAAACGTGACGACATCAGTCTATGCTATTTCTGCCAAAAATGCAAAAACCATGGCGTTCTCATGTGGAAAAAGGTATGTCAAGTTTGTTGCCCGCCTGGGTTATCGTAGCCAGTAACCCAGGCGACACCCTATCATGACTGTTTTGAATGAGAGCTGTGACGTATAGCATTCATAGCCCTGCTTTGGAGGCGATCCGTCTCAGTGGGTGATACCGCTCACCACGTGAAAGGCTTAAGCTCTTAACTGCTGACGATCAGCATTCGCAGCTTAGCGTTTAGGCTCGGAGCAGCACCAGCCGCTCCAGTTAAGACCCTTAAGTCCTTAAGTCTGAGCAAAGAGAATGAATCGGTTTCTTAGTAATTTTCAGGATCACAAACGAAGCTGCGAATATGCCAATTGCCGTTGTGAACAGTGTGATCTCATTGACACAAGGAGAGCACTGGATCGACATATAAAAAACAGCAAAGACATGAAAACAGGTACGTCACTCACTGCTGCTCTCATGTACCGATAATCGCGTCTTCCATAAAGTTATGATCAAAGTTCAGTGAACTCATCCGACTGTTCCTCGTCCAGCTCATCAGAAGAGTATAGTTCTGGGAGTGACAGTAACAGTGCCCCATTGCCATTCTCCGCTATGCCAATCTCGATGGCATGCAACACGGATACGGTACGATTTATGTACTGCCGATTACCAAAGCATCAGTATTTTACAATTTCCATACATCAACTTCCGAACTACACAATAGCATCTGAAAATAATGATGTTTCTCCCATGTGGGAAGCACATTTTCTACACGAAACACTAATCTCGCAATAATCCAGAAAAAAGCTCGGATTTTGCAAATCCGAACTGGTGCACAGCGTCTGTGATTCCGTGTTGGGCTCAATTAGACTGATATGCGATTGAAAACAGAACCAGCAATTCTTACTAGCAAAATTTTTTACAGTGGAGCCATATAGTTGGGAAAAATCCAGAAGGGTTAGATAAAAAGTATGTTGTAAGTAGTGGAGGATGAAGAAAAGGGCAATGCAAAAAAGTCCCCGAAAGCATATAACAAACAGATTCAATCTCACATTAAGTCAATGTACAGACATAGTCATGGAATTAGTTCGAGACCAGGCCCTTTCTAAAGCTGGATATTGGAAGAGGTTAAAATTTAGGGTCACTCAACTTTGATGGGAACCTTCTAAGTAACCCCTCTAAACACTCTCTAGGGATACGTACCTCCGGCTGGTTTCCCACCAACTGATGTGCGGGCGGTTCTGCCTGAACAGATCCTATCCCATGTCGATTTGATATCAAGAGTACATTCCACTGCACGATTTAACGGTCTGCACACCCTTGTATACACTGCAATTCCAAATGAAGTTAAACGCATGGCGTAACTAACAGACATTAGAGTCGCTCAGTTAAATGGTATTTTCACAAAATGATATCTCTACAGTAAAGCCAACTTCATTTCAGATTCCTTTACTACCAATTCCTGACATCCCTCTACTGAAGCCACCAATGGACACAAATGGATCGTTGCTTTTGCCTGGATTAGCTTCCACATTGTTCCCGCCTTCCACTCTAAATTCCTCATTCCTTCCTTTGTCCTCCTTGCTGTATGGCGGACTTCTACCTAATACCTCAAGTGATTTCCTAGTTTCTAACGTTCTTAATGCACTATCACCATTTGAAATCCAATTATTGTTGGCTAGTATTGGATCTAGTCATGATTCTGGTGCTTGTTTGAATTATTAAAACTAAAGCATTATTAAAATAATACAATTAGTAGAAGAAATCAGCGGATGCAATACTGTGAACCTATGTGATTGTACGGGTATTTTTCGAGTATTGAATGAGTAAATAAAGATGTGAAATATCGTGTATAATTATTTCGAACGACAATATAAAGCTAATCTTGGCGTCGAGTATGAACGGCAGTCGTTTAGCCGATGGACGCTTCTCTACAGCAGTATTCTCTCACAGATTTTACATTCTTACAGCCATATACATAGGTTGAGTTAAACAAATACACTCAAGCTTAAAAAATTATTTATCATTCTTCAATGGCTTCCAAGTTGATAAATCCGGTTGGATACCACAAAGAAACCACTGCACATTTATGTCACAACAGCATAAAAAGCTCATTATGAATCATCACGAAAGGGCCCGTACAAAGGATTATTATGTGAGCGCATTTTGAAAGATTACATCGGAAAAAAGGATAAATTATTCACAAAAATATACATAAACGACTTTAGCCAGGAAAAACGACTTTAGCCAGGGACCGTCAGAGAAGGCTGCACTCGCGACGGCCCGTCCGCTGACTATCATTCAACCCACCTTTTTAACAGTTCAAGCGCCCCCATTTAATGGAAAATGATTTAAATCATACGCGGGTCTATATCGCTCATGTATTTCATATAAGTCTCCCTATGAATAACATTAGTGCTGGCAATAAGAATTCTGAAGTTATTCTGCACAGCCAACAGGCGTAGAGCGGCTACTTCTGCATAGGTCACGCCTCCCAGGAAAAAGACAAGTATTGCTTTTCTCATACGATTGTCAGGACGGCGGTCCGCCGGGATGTAGCTGTTCTCCTCGACAAGAACTCGCCCAAAGGTCTTTTTTAACTCATTTGTGTTCCAGCCGTGCACCACTGCATTAGCAACGACTTGACAAAAAGGTGGCGTGAAAGCACCGGAGAAGACGTAACTCATCGTAGAAGGATTGCGTAGGTCCACAGCCGCATCTTCTGCAGTGGGAACCAGATTCAGTCTCTTTATGAGAAAAGGTAATGTCGGTAAGGAGTCACCAGTCGCTGGCGAAGAAGGTGCGGGTGGTCCTGCACCACCCACTATTGGACGAGGTTTCTCGGTAAGAAGACGTTTCGAAGTGAGACTGTGAAGTATGGGAAGATATTCATATCCGTATGTCCTAAAGAAGTGGTCTCGAAAAGACTGGAAATGCTTAGCGGGGAGGCCATTCTGAGCCAAAGAGGCTAGACATGCCAATGATAGAACCTGCCAGGACGGAAGTTCACGCAGCATACAGTCTTCGAGGTATGAGATCACATCTGCGATATTGGCTGTGCCCGCGACCAACTCATGCTCGAATCGTAAACGATCGCTAGCTCCAGCAGCTCCGTTCTTCTCAAGCAACACTTCACAAGCACAAATATGCATTTCCAACTGACGGTGTTGAAGCTTTAGCGACTTCAGCTCATGCGCAACGAACTGTTTCATATCTCGAACTTGATCTATCGAGGCACCTTTGTTGAAATCCGATTGAATTTCCTTGGCTTTTGAGCTGAGGAATGGGAACACTCCGGTCATATGCTTGTTTCGAATCGACGAAAAAACTCCATCATTGTTGTCAAGAACGTATACCCTTGATTTCTTCACCGCCTCCCCTTGTTCGATCTCGGGTCGCATTCTCTCCTCAACCTCAGGCCCAAACGAAATCTTCCCACATCCAATAGTGAACACCTCATGAAGCATCGCTTCGTAGGTGAGACCAGTCATAAGCACTGTGGCCTGGTCCAATGATCTGTCAAACATGAACAGATGACTGATTGGTTGATCCGGTGATGAGCGCGGTTCGCCTCGTTCGAGGTAGACGTGGTGCATTAACTTCCACAGCTTCTCCGTTTGCTCTCCTAGACCGTAAACTGTTGGTATGAGGCCATATAACGACTGCAATTGAAACAAGGCATTAGCGGATGCTAGCAGGTCTTTATGAGCAGTTGTGGCAGGCATTTCCATCGAAAAAAGGTCATTTTCTAGAGAGATAAATGAGATACTGAGCTCGAACGATTCTACTTGCCCATATACTCCTTGGCGTTCAAGTTCACGTTCGCAAACAACCAATCGTCTATCCACCCAAATGACTGCAATTTGCCTATCGGGTGAAGCACGCACATGCTCAGCTAGTAATCGAGCAATATCCAACGAACTACGAAGTAGATATACACGACGCATCACATTCGGATGCCATGGGATGGCAGTGGGAGAATTCAGTCGAAGAGGAATTACCCGCTGACAACCGTGTTTTTGCAGTAAACTCATCGATGCTATGCGATCTAGCGGACGGAGCAGTGTGGCGTCGACGACCAGATCCTTCATTCCTGGCAGTGATTCGAGCAGATGTACCAGTTCTCGTCGTACCACCTCACAAAGTAGCCCAAGTGGTTGTTCACACAAGTCGGTCATCGCACTGAAAATATTCAGACTAGATCAGAACAAGTAATATCTGCAAAACTTCTAAAGATGAGGAATGATACTCCTCATCTTCAAAAGTTGAGAATCCCGCCACCTTACGGGAAGCGAATAAGAACGAAACAATGCAGGTTTTAGCCTGATCTCCTCTTTCCTCACACCGGGCCACTGTATTGTGAATAAGAGTAAAACCGCAAAACTGTGACAACGGAGAAACTTCTCAAGACACTCGCCTATACTGAGTACAACGTTGTTTCTTGACTGTTACATCGATGTAGAATCCTGAAACAAAAAATTTACTACTGAGAAGTAAAATAGTAAATGGGTCTCACATTCAAATTTACAAAAAAGGCTTCAAGCTAACAATAAAGCTGCCCTAACAGGGCGACGGATCAACAACTGGCCAATAATAGCAAAGACCAGTCTTTTTCCAGGTAAGAATCATGAATATTAATGATGCTGAAGTTAAATGCAAAAAAATAAATGCCGGCGATTTCGTGAAAATCCAAAGAAAAAGATGTTTCCTCGATTCATAGTTCTCGCGCTTTAATTCGTGAAAGTAAATGAAATTCGATAGCTTCAAATTGACCAGATTTTGCCCAGATTACTTATGTTGTGGACAAAATCGATTTCAGATTCAAACTTACAAATGGGTTGTCCACTATCTTCGCAGCGAATAAAAGGCAGAGAATTAACGTGAAGCCAGCAACCCGTCCGATTGCGAGAGTGGTATAAATACAACCTGAAGAATCCCCTACATGGACTAAGTCAAAAAACAAGCATCAAAACAGGAAAACATTGGGATTCAATTAGAGAGAAGACGTTAAAAGAACGACGT